ATTTTATTATACGACATAATAATTATTTTATATCAATTTACCTATTGTTTGGAAATTTGTTATAAATTTTTTTCACCATTTTCAATCATATTGTCCAATCGAAATAAAAAAGATGCTAAGTTTCCAAAAAATGGGAGCGGTTTCTGGTGAGGCACATTGGAGTCTTTGAATCTATTGTAGTTCCATGTAGCATATAAATAGAAGGCATAAGCCAACACTGTTATCAGGATCCAGGTTATAAAATCCATTCTAAAAAATATCATAATTAATTTTCCCATTAAAAAGATTATTATAATGCCATAATAAGATTTTGCCCAATAGAATACATTTGAATATAATAATATTAGTTTATTGTATTTAATTTTAATACTGCGGAATATACTAATATACAGTATATATTACAGTTTATCACAGGTAACAAATGTTGTATACGTCATAAAACTAGCTGTAAGTGGCATTTTGCCTTAAAGCAAGTTGCATGATTGATAAATCTGACCGATTTGACCTTTTAATTTTCGAGATCAGTGCAGCTTCTTTGGAAAAATGTTGACGAAAGATTAAATATTGGCTCACATACACACACTTTTTCCAAGTTTTGTGTCAAACGATTCAGAAAGACTTAAAACGTGGTGAACACATAAAATTAGCAAGTGGGATTCTCTGGCAAAAATATAAACCTTTTCTTTAAGAGTTAACAAGCTTTTGTTATAATAAAATATTAGTGTGAAATAATTTTACATATTTATCACAACTCAATATTCATCACAACATTTTTTGCAATTAAAATTTTTATTATAGATAAATTTTATCTAATACTGATAATGGAATGGCAAATTGTACGTATTTCAAAAATTTATTGTTCTTGTTTTTGATGTAGGTTTTGCTGAATCATAAATAATAAATTAGTTGTATATATAATAACACACACTCACACACACACACATATATATATATATATATATATATATATATATATATATATATTTATTTATTTATTTATATATTTATATATGAACAAAACTGTTTTCAGAGGCGTCATTCACAAAATCACATGAAACGAATTTTAATTAGTTTAATTATTTATTTCAGTTTTTTTAATTTGTTATACACTGATCTAAATATTTTTATTTAATTCATTTTAATTTAATCACTAGAAAAATACCTTAATTTATAGAGAACTACGATCTAACATGAATATACAACTACAATACTCGCACTGACATCACACGAATCATGATCAGTCAATTAATAAATGGAGTTACATATTGTGATGTAATAATAATCGTTTGAAATAAATTCTAGATAAAATAATTTACTTTCAAAAGCATACGCTATAAATGTATCAAAACAAATTTATTTGATTTATTACAAATTTATCATTTAAGATAATTAGAGCAACAATAGGATTTAGGATAAAATGTTGGGTACAAGTAGATACTTTGAAATACTATTGGTTTCGTTCACCATCTAGGAATAATTTTCATTTTCATTATTTTTCATAAATTAGTGCCAGTCAATCTTTGCACTTAGTATCACATAGTTCCAAAATTTATTTATAATTTATTCAAAGCACTACAAAATTAGGGTTCAACTAAAAATACTTATAATTTGCCTTTGCGATCTGATGGTACTTCTTTATTTTAATCATTTACTGCCAATTAGTGCCAAATAGATTTTGATTTGTTTTCAATTAATTGCACATTTTTTAATATGAGAAGATATTTTTGTCTGAAATATATATTGACTCCAAAAACTGATATATACTTAATTAAAACTAATTGAAAGAATGATTTATAACTCATTGATTTTATATTTGTACAATTCAAATTACATTGTGCAAATACGATTTGCCCTTATTAACTATCTTACTAACAGATAAATTAAATTATAAGTATCATATTTTGTTGATTATGCTGTTCATTTATTCACTCTCTTCTTAAAGGTGACCCAAAATCCTTTTTCAACATGCATGTTAAATGTTGACTTTTTGATTTTCAAAGGTATTTGTGTTTTCTCACAAGGCACAATATCAAAATGACGTAGAAGTTCGAAAATTATCATTTTCACTTCCATCAATGCAAATCGGGATGCTAAAAGTATTTAGACATCAAGTACTGGGTTAAACAAAATATTAAAATTTATGTCTCTAACAGTTACCTATGCAGTTTCGTGGTCCTACACCAAAAGGCATATATGTGAATGGTTTGATTTTGTGTTTATTATCATCACTGAATCTTTCAGGATCAAATTTATCAGGATTTTCATAATATTTTTCATCGCGTTGCAAATAGTATATAGGATACAGGACGACTTCTCCTTTTCTCACCTATTTGTTTTGTAATAAAGGATAAATTTCAGAATATACAATAATTGTGGTTGTGTAAGATGACTTACTTCAAACTTATTTCCTTCATAATCTTCAATTTCATAAGGCTTTATACAAACTCTGTCAGTAACAGCAAGTGGTGGCCACAGCCTTAAACTTTCTGAAAAATTTAAATCTTACTATTATAAAAAAACTAATAGATAATTTTGATATATGTATAAAAGTGATTTAAAAAGAAGACCAACCATACTACTTTGATGATTATCAAGATTTATGGTTACCTACCAGATACGACCATATCCAAGTATTTCATATGGACTACTGTTTCATAGCTTGGTTTATCCTCTATAGAATCACAAATATCATCAATTTCTTGTTGAAGACGTTGCTGGATTTCTGGATGGAGTGCCAATTCATGGGTCAAAAAGCATAAAACAGTTGATGTCGTGTCAAAACCAGCCAGGAAGAATATCATGGCTTGAGCTGTTAACTCATCGTCTGTCCAAACTATAATATTGTAAAATAAATAGATATCAAATTTGTTTACTCATATATTTTTCTTAGTATAATAGATTTTGGTCATTAGTACCTCTTTTTGTTGTGTGGCTTTTTGTGACATGAGATTCTGCAACTGTAGCAAATCCTGCGTCAACATTATCATCATTGTGATCTTCGTTTTTAGGAACTTCATGGCGTAAAGCTCCTTTTTTAGCTTGCATCAATAACTGTATCATATCTGGTCTATGGATATTTTCCTTCTCCCTAAGAGCAATAGTGTCACCGACCAAGGATCTGAAGAAATTGGAACTTTCATCGTCCGCTAAAGCTATTTTGAAAAACTAAAAGAGCGCGAAACTGATTTTTGTTTTGAGACATTTTTTTTTATAGTTATAGAAAGAAATTTACCTTCATAACTTTGGGAAACATAATGTGAGCAAATAGTTTCATAACAGTAAGGGCACCACCAAAATTAAATCGTTGCCCCATTCTGTAGAACAAGTTGTCCTTTTCCTTCAAGCTGTTGACTTTGAGACCAAATGCCGTAGAAGCTATTACATCAGTTGTAGCTCTTGTGTACAAGTTTTTTAATTCTAATGATTGTGGACCTGAAATCAAATCAATTGATCATTCTATTCAACTAATATACAGAAAATCAATACTACTATTTATTTACCTTTTGTGTCGATTTCTTTCTTCATAAAATCTGCCATCTGTTCAGTGCATTCCGACAACAACCTGAACATATTTCTCATTTTACTTCCAGTAAAAGCAGGACTAAGGGTTGCTCTCATGTCACGCCATTTCTGATCTGTATTGAATTACTATTACTTACTAATATAAATTGGAAACGACATATAAAAATATTCTATTATATTTTATGTTTGTTTCAGCGTATATAAAGAAAGGATTTTTTTACATGCCTTGGAGATTCAGCATAACGTTTCCAAACATAGGATCAACATCATCAGTAATGAATGGTCTGTGATTCGGGAAATTATCAAAATCTTTGACACCAATTTGTCTGATCAATTCTGGGTCTTTTATCATCACAGCAGGCATACGGAGTTGGAAGACACCATAAAATCTTGAAGTTAAAGGTAAGAATAAAAAAGCTATAAAGTTTAAATTGGATAGTCAAGTTGACTCAGGTCATTACTTTTCTCTTACCTTTTATTTGGAAAACTTCTATACACTTTTCCAACATTGTCAATCATGTTCTCCATGCGCAGCATAAACGGTCCGGTGTTTCCAAAAAATGGAAAAGGCTTCTTGTAAGGCACTTTCGTTCCTTCAAATCTGTCATATGTCCAGGTGGAATATTTGTAAAAAGCGTAGACCAGCACGGCTACGAGTATCCATGTTATGAATTCCATCTTTAGAAAAAAAGTGATATAAGATTTTCAAATAAATTCATAGTTTGGAAAATGGAATATTTGAAGGTGGTTTAGAATGACTTAAAAGACGAGAAACAGAAAACGGAGCTTTTCGGATTTTCTGGTGAAAACCAATTTTAATTTCGGGGAGGAAAAGATAAACAAATGCATTAAAAATGTAGTAAAAGTTAATTCTTTTGGGTTTAAAAAAATGTTGCGTTGCCCTCTTATATTTTTTTCTGTGTTTTTTTTTTCATCTCTTTAATTTTTGTTATACGGCTATTTATAAGCATTGCACATATTAAACAATTATATAATTAACATAAACAAATAGCTAGACATTTTTTTAACTGGCATTTAATTTAGCATGTACAGTTGTACCTACGATTTAGCCTTGAACGCTTATTAGATAATATTTTTTATCAACTGAGATGACAATGCTGAATAGCAAGGCTGATTCATACATTTGGCGTCCTTGATTTCGATCAAATGTTGTATTTGGCGTCGAATCGATTAATTAGAATCGTTTATTTAAAAAATATTTATTTTAAAAAAAGTAAGTAAATTAGTTAATTGACTTTACTTTTACTTTTTTGCAAGCTGATAAAGGATCTAGTTACTACTTACTAGCAAAAGCTCTAATAGCTAACTGGCAAAAACAGCTAATGTAAATGTTTATAGCTATTGTGAGAACTTGCGTTGATTATCTAATTTACTATGAGTTTGCAGATTTGGAGATTTGAATTTTTATGTATTGATTTTTCACAAACTATAGATAAGATAATTCTCTTAATGGTATGCAGATAATACCTTATGGTATGTAGAATTTTTTTCACAAAAAAATTATAATTTCATAAGAATTATTCAAATAGTTTTAAATTTATAGATTTTTAAACAGCAATTAAACAAGTTCAGTATAAAAAAATAAATAGTGACTTTTCGTATGAAATCACTTCATACAACTTTTTATTGTTAAATAAACAATTTTGGATTTTCCTTTATTATAAACAAACAAGCTTTTTAATAAACAATTAATTAGTTATTAAAAATGAAAACTATGCTATGCAATTTTTTTTAAATAAGACGGACAAACGTTTCGAGTATCAGCTTGACTCTTCTTTAGTGAAAAACACATTTGTTTAAAAAAAAAAACTACGCAAAAAAACCTGATTCACAGTCATATTTGTAAAAAAAAAAGAAAAAAAAATGATTTAAAAACTTTAAATTAGTTTGTTTCACACATATTTCAACTCAACGTGATAGTTGATTGTTATTAATTTGAATTTTATTTTGACTTAGATTCTGATTTCTTGATATATAGTACATAACTAAACTAAAAAATATTAAATATATTTTGTATTTAATTTGAAAATTTTCAATCAATTATAATTATTAACTACACTGACTTAAGATGTAAACAAAAATATTTCAGCAGCTTTGCTATTTTTTTTACTTCACACCTAGTTTATCCAAAACCACGAAACGATTCGTAACACATTTTCTAATGAAAATATTATTTTTAAAATATATTTTAGGTGATTTTAACAATTATTATACCTTGTTTTAATTTAAATAACAATCACTTGTGCCCAAACACGACTTGACACAACTGCGTTTATATTCCTACTGATACATCTTCAATCATGATGAATTAATCAGCCGTTACATACGAGGTGTGTTCAAAAAGTACCCGGAATTACTAATAATTAAATTTCGCGGGTCTGGAGTGTCTGATTGTCAAAATTTTTTTTTCATTGTGTTGGTATACATGCCCCTAAAGTATGATGAAATTTTCAGCTATATTCACTGTTTACTTTGTCTGTGGTAGTCGCTAAGGTTCGACGTGTTTTTCTGAGCTCGGCGATTTTTACAATGGAAGAATTGAAAAGTCAAAGAATTTGTGTTAAATTTTGCGTAAAAAATGAAATAAAGTGTTGCAAAGTGCAAAAATTCACCAGATATGGCTCCGTGTGACTTTTTCCTATTCCCAAAGTTGAAGAGACCCATGAAAGGACGGCGGTTTTCCTCGATTGAAGAAAATCGCTGAGAGTGCTCAAGGACATATCAAAAAGTGAATATCAAGGGTGCTTCGAAAATTGGAAAAAACGCTGGCATAAGTGTATTATATCTGGGGGGGACTACTTTGAAGGGGACCACATTAATGTAGACGAATAAATAAATATTTTTTCGTATACTGATGTAACCGTCCTCAAAAGTGATGAAAAATCGACATTATCGAAAAAATATGTAAAAATTATTCCTGAAATAAAAATGCAGAAAATACTTCAATTGGTATTCAGCAAAACACAAAAACTTTTAGTTCAAGTGAATATATTTTAATTATTATTTATACATGAATATACATGTATAATAAAATGAAACAAAATTTATATAATTGTAAATAATAAAATTCACCATTATAATTATAATTTATACTACAAAGTGACCAAAGTGTATTTTTGCAATATGCTTGTTTTTAATTGCGAACTTACGATAAGATGGAAATCATGTTTATTGATAAATGTGATTTCCATCTTAAGATGACTTCTCAATTAAAAACAAGTAAATTATAAAAAAATATGTGTATCTTAATTTAATTCTATTTACCCGTATAGTAAGAATGATTTTTAAATTGAGTATTTAATTATTAATAAATGAAATACCCATAGTTAAATATAAAACTTTATGAGAAATAATAAGTTATTTATTATAAAACTGCAAAATCTCAATTTGAATTATCAATATTAATAAGTATTACTTATAATTACGATATACTAGTACTTTATTTTTATTACTTGTTGCATCTTTGTTTAAAAGTGACCCAGAATCCCTTTTCGACTTTCATGTTGAATGTTCCTTTAGTCAGTTTTAGTGGTATTTGGGTTTTCTCACATGGAACAATATCGAAATTACGAAGAAGTTCGAAAATGATCATTTTTACGGACATTAGAGCAAATCTAGAAGCTGAAAAAAAATTTAAAACAATGTTAGTATTTTGCATCAAATAGTAAAAAATAAAATGTGAAACTAAATCAATGTAGCCTAAAGGAGGACAAATTAGTTTGGAGCTTCAAGTCACAATTTTTTTAAACTAGCATGTTTGATTTGTTTTTCTAAAACAAAATGTCACTCACACCTAGTTCTATTTTTAGTAATTCATTACCTATACAATTCCTTGGTCCAACCCCGAATGGCATATAAGTAAATGGTTGGATCTTGTGTTTATTTTCTTCACTAAATCGTTCAGGATCAAAATGATTTGGATTTTCAAAATGTTTCTCATCTCTTTGTAGAGCATAAATTGGATATCCGATCACCTCTCCTGGTTTGATCTAGTTTTTATAAAAGAAATAATAACATTTTCATACACAAGAATCAATAATAATCATAAAATAATTACTTCAAATTGTTTCCTTCGTGATCCTCAAGATTGTACGATTTTGTACAAACTCGTTCGGTGGCAACAAACGGCGGCCATAATCTTAATCCCTCTAAAAAAATTGTTTGAAATTATTATATTGATTATAATTGATTTTTAACATCATATTTTTTGCTATTCAGAAGTCTTTCCATTTATTTTACCAGATACAACCATATCCAAGTACTTCATGCGAACTACAGTTTCGTAATTTGGTGTTCCACTAATGGAATTACAAACATCATCAATCTCTCGTTGTAGACGTTCCTGGATTTCTGGATGTGTCGCCAATTCGTGTGTTAAAAAGCACAAAACCGTGGAAGTAGTATCAAAACCAGCTAGGAAGAACATCAAAGCTTGGGCAGTCAACTCATCATGAGTCCAAACTAAAAAAAACAGAACAACTTTATATAAATTTGTCACTTCCAGAAATTTTGCAACTGTTGTTTTCTGACCTGTCTTGATTGTTTCTATTTTTGTGGTGGATTCTGCGGCAGTTGCAAAACCAGCATTATCTGTATCATCTTTGTCTTCATTTGTTGACACCAATGATCCTTTTTTTGCTTGCATGAGTAATTGGATCATGTCTGGTCTATGAATGTTCTCCTTTTCTCGAAGAGCCATGGTATCGCCTACTAATTTGCGGAAGAAGTTGCCGCATTCATAGTCGATGAAACTTATGTTGAAAAACTAAAGACCAATAATGATTTCAATTATAATTAATTTAAAAACCAGGAGTTGCACAAGGAGTTTGTGATTGCTACTACACAAAGGTATAGGAAATACCATAATTTATTTAAAAATGCATAAATAACAATATTGAGGGCTGTGAGTTCTTTATCATTTTGGGAACTAAGTATGAGTAGGGTCGTCTGATTTACCTTCATAACTCTGGGTATCAACAAATAAGCAAATATCTTAATGATAGCTTTGAAATTTTCACCAGTTAGTTTCTGACCCATCCTATAGAAAATATTCTGTTCATCCTTCAAACTATCAACTTTCAGCCCAAATGCTGTCGATGCAATGATGTCAGTGGCAGCTCTTGTATAGAATTCTTTCAGCTCCAAAGACTGTGGTCCTATAATAAAAAAATATATTATAAACCAATTGTAAATACTGATTGTTAGCACAAACCTTTCTCATTGATTTTTTTCTTCATAAATTCACCCATCTGTTGAGTGCATTCAGATATTAGCACAAACATATTTCTCATTTTGCTTCCAGTAAAAGCTGGACTAAGGGTTGCTCTCATGTTGCGCCATTTCTGATCTAATGAATAGATGCAGATTTATTTTTAGTTACTATATACTTTAAAAATTTAGAAAAGATTGTCATGTTTTTCAAAAATATTGTTTCATCGCCATTAAAAGTCTTTTTTTTCAAGTCTTACCTTGAAGGTTGAACATAATATTACTAAACATTGGATCCAAATCTTCTTTAACAAATTGTCTGTGATTCATGAAGTGATCAAAATCTTTTACACCAACTTGTCTAATTAACTCTGGATCTCTTATAACAATTGCAGGAGTACTCATTTGGAATACACCGTAAAATCTATTAAATAAATATAAAATTATAATAGATTATTAAAATATATAAATATTATGTTAAGAACTGCTTTGTGGTTATAGAAAAAATTATAATTGTTATCTGAGCTATATAGTAAATACTCTGGATAGTGAAAGCAGAAGCTTTATGAACTATTTTCTCTAAGGATAATTTTCTATTGTTCTAGCTCTTGATCAAGGGATGGAACAAAAACTTATAATTATATTTTAAAACAAAAATAACAGGATATTTTTACCTCTTATTTGGAAAGATGTCGTAAAGTTTCGAGAAGCTTGTAACAATGGTTTCCATTCCAAATAGGAACTTTCCAGAATTTCCAAAAAATGGCATAGGTTTTTGATAAGGTACTTTTGTTCCATCGAATCTACCATAGTTCCATGTAGAATATATGTAGAAGATGTAGATTAGCACGGCTACGAGGATCCATGTTAAATAATCCATCTGTAATAACAATTATAATAATAATAATATTTCATATAAATCAAATCTACACCTGCAGTTCTAAAATTATCTTCTATATTTCATATAAAATTTTCATGATGTATAAATATATATTTTATATGCGTATACATATACATATAATTTTATATGTGTATATTATATTCCCAAAATAGAATACATATATTATCGTTGTGAATTGATTTAATTCTGTATAGAATTTCGGAACTATTTATATTGGCAAATATTTATTAAACTAAATATTTCTAAATCTTTTAAAAATATATTATTTCCGATATGATGTATATAGATCATCATTCAGAATATAATGGGTATTTTATAATCTTTATAAATTGATATTAAACGCTTTAAAAATTCCTAACAGTTAATATTTTTCTGATAATTTTTTTTTTCAAACTGTGCAAGTCATAGAATTATATAACAGCTTATATTTAATTTTTTTTGAATATAAATTACAATCTGTCTATATAGAAAGACATTGAGTAATTAATTTCACAAATAACATGGAATTTTAAAAGGAAAACCCAGTGGTTCACCTTTTATTAATATACTAAACATCTTAATTGAATTTAGGTATTATAAATATTTAATATTTAAATAGGTACTGTACTGTTTGTTAATTTCAAAATACAATCCCTTATTATAATTATTTTCATATTTACAAATAAATTAAGACACTTTTCACAAATAAATTTAAAATATAAAGAAAGATTATAAGTATAAATTCAAATAAAAACAAAAAAGCTCACAATTAATTACTTTTACAGATTCTTGCAATTTTTAGTTATCAAGCATAAATTAAATTAATATTATCTCAATCTAATTCTAAATTTTCATAAATAAAATTATTAACTTTTCACCAAAAACAAATATAATCACTATTTTTACACAGTGTGTTACTCGTTAAAAATGAATCATACACATCCGTATAAATAAAGTTTTATCGATATTCCTTTTAGTTTTTATGTCTTAAACCATTATATTAAATACTTAAATCAAATATATGTTTCAAATCTTTTTGTTTATATTTTATTTACCTTTTTATCTATTAATTAACAAAATTTCTGGAGTACAACTAAAACACAACTTATCCGGCGCACATCAAAACTGAAAATGTTTGTTCCGATGACCGCAGATTACTAATCATATGTAGTCAGATGTAACGACCTTGATTTTTTTAAATTTATTGTCAATTGTGTCTCTAATTAAAAGTGAATTAATTGGAAAATCATTCCAGGGTTGAACTAGTTCATTAAAGGTCTCTATATTAGGGAATTAGTTTATATCGCTTATGACCTTGACGAAAAGCTTATTTTATATATATATAAATAAAAATATTTTCTTAAAAATTTAATTAATGAAAAATGATTTTAATTCTTAACTTTTGATATATCTCAAAAGCTAATGTAATAAAACGAGAACTTTAGGCATAATTATGTATAATAACTCAGAACAATGTATATAGATATAGTTTCTATTTTTATAATCACATCAGAAATACAAAAAAATATAAAATAATATATTTATTCGTGAAAATATATACTAAAATTGGATTCTTATAAGACCTTCGAGTATTGGATTGGATTCTTATAAGACCCTCTGAATGCAATACCTTCTTATTAGAATACCTGGCTTCATGCCGTTCAAAATTTTTATTAATTTGCTTAATAGTAGAGTATTCAAAAACGCAAAATTTATCATATTTTCTTTGATATTATGTTCAAACTGTATCAATAACAAGACATATACATTTTAATTATTAAAATGCATTTATATTATGTAATTTAATCTTTTATTATTGAAACCTTAAATGAAATGTTTGTATTTTCGTTCAGCGTTGTCCCGTAAGATGAAACTACTGTATCTTATGAAATGATTTTACTGCGCAATTATTTATTTTTTATATTTAACAATTACTTGAAAATTTATTAATAATATTAAATATGGATTTTATGGATATTTTACAATTCTCTATTAGCAAAATTATTGAATGAGTCTGGTGTTAATTTCTTGAAAATTTCAAAACGATGAAGTTCTTAGAAGTTTTATGATTTTATAGGGCTTAATAAATATATTACATATTATAAAGTTTAACAAATATCAAAGATAATTTATTATTAATAAACTACAATACCATGGATATCAAAAATTTTTACAAACAGATATATAAACTGTATATAATATGTAATAATATACCTAATAATATATTAATCATTGTATAATAATTTAGTACCTAAATCTTCATATTTCTAAAATAATCGATAAATATACCAAAATCTTTAGAATCTTAAAATTATGATGACTGGTTTGGAACTTTTAAATAGCTTGTATATAAAATATATGTTTATTATATAGTCAATATTAGCCAAAAAATATGTTTTTTCCAATTTTTTAAATTGTAAGCAGACAATTTAAATTTTTGTCTAAATCTTAGAGTTATTTAAAAATTTTATATTTGATATTTTAATATTAAATATCATATTTTATTGCACTTTTCTATTAAATTTTTAAGAATAATTTTCTAAGGAAAAAATTATTAATATTTAATTTGGAAAAAATTAAACTTAAATTAAAAAGCATACAATTTATGTTTAAATTTTAAAGGTTTTTAAAAATCTTATATTTGATATTTTAATATTATATATATAGATTTAAATTTTATTGAACTGTTTATTTGATTCTTAAGAATTATTTCTTCAAGAAAAAGAAGGTATAATATTTATAAATATTAATTAAATTATAGAGACAATTTTCGTTTAAATTTTAAAGTTATTTAAAATCTTTTATTTGATATTTTAATATTTTATATATACATTATATTTTTTGCACTGTTTGATTTTTAGGAATTATTTTTTTAGGAAAAAAGTGTTAATATTTAATTTGGAAAAATTAAATAATTAAATACTCAAAAATTAAATTAAATAAATAATGAAAAACTCAAAAACAGTGTTGATTTGAAAGTTAAACAAATTTTTATTTATTTGAATCTTGATGTTTGTATTTATATGGAATTTAATCTAAAGTATTAAATCATATATGCTTTATTTTATTAAATAAACTTCTATTAATTATTAATTAATAATTATAATTATAAATTAAAATATTGTTCATTTTCCTTGTTCCACCTTCGCTTCACTCCGTCGATCTTCGTTCAAGTTCGTTTCAATAGTGGGGACAACTTGACGAACGTAAATTTTGCTTGCATTTTAACCTCATTCAGTCACAAATGTTCTGTCAGACACGGTTTCTCTATATTTTTTATTAATAAAAAACGCAAATAGGATAATAAGTAATCGGAAATAATTTAAAAAAAATATATCAAAATCGTTGTTACATGTGATTTCGTAATCGAGTGTTTTGTGGATAAAAAGTGTGTTTAATATATTAAATGTGACGTGTGAATAACAACATTACACAATGTAGATGTATATATAAATACACCAAAATTAACTTTCAAGCTTATTACAAAATGAATTTTTAATGCATGTGAAAATATAAACATATATACTATTTTTTCATGTTCTTTATCAAAGTGTTTATGATCTGTCATGGTGATTAATAAGTATAATACAAGTTCTTTAAATTCCCCAGTATTAAATCCAAATAATACTAGGACAAGAATGATGAATCCCCAAAGACGTAGAGTAAGTAATTTTTTGTAATTATTATTCATATTTTATAAAAAATTAAATTAGACATTTGTAACATAACCTAAACATGCCACAGGTTGTGCAAACGAATGTCAAATGGTTTCGCGAATGTTCTCTACTGTCAAAAATGGTTATAATTTTGTATAGTGGATTTTATTATTGAAATTTGATAAATATTGACATACTTTAATATAATAATAAATATAATTTGCTTTAAATATAATAACCTTTGCTTTTATTTATGTCAATTACATAATTTTGCTTATTTTTTTCTTTAGTAATTATTACTTCATGTCACTATTAAGAATGTTTTTTGGCATTTATCATAACCTTACCCTTTGCTATTTAATTCTCTATAATTTGTCATTACCTAAATTTTTAATTTATTTTTTATTTTTTGACTTCCATATTGGAAAAATGATTGACCTAATCAAAATGCTGCCAGATTTTTTTTATATTTTTTATAATTTAGGTCACGTCTTAATTATATTTTTATTTCCCATTTCATGTTCAATTAAATATTTTTTTATAATGTTGTAATTAATATGCAATTATTGAAGAATGCCAATACATATCTTTAGTTTAAAATTTATACTGTTCTATATTTTGCTTTCTTTCTTTACTTTCTAGTTAAATTAATAGAGATAGTTGGATTAATGGTTGGATTAATATCTGTTTTCCGTTTCATTTTAACTAAATTTGTTCATTGAATATATTTTTTAATTTTATAATTAATATATATTAATTATACTGCTCTATATTTTTCTTTTTTTCTTTACTTTCTAGTTAAATTCATAGAAATAGTTGATTGGGTTAATCTCTATTTTTCGGTTCATCTTAACTAAATTTGTTCATTAAATATTTTTTATAATTTTGTAATTAATATACAATTATTGAAGAATAACAATATCTTTCGCTTAAATTTTATATTGCTCTACATTTTGCATTTTTTCTTTACTTTCTAGTTAAATAAATAGAAATAGTTGGGTTAATGGTTGGATTAATCTCTGTTTTCCGTTTTATTTTAACTAAATTTGTTCAATTAAATATATTTTATAATTTTGTAATTAATATGCAATTATTGAAGAATGTCAATATCTTTCGTTTAAATTTTACACTGCTCTGCATTTTGCTTTACTTTCTAGTTAAATGCATAGAGATAGTTGGTTGGATTATTCTCTATTTTCCGTTTCTTTTTAACTAAATTTTTTTATTAAATATTTTTTATAATTTTGTAATCAATATACAATTATTGAAGAATGCCAATATCGTTAGTTTAAATTTTATACTGCTCTACATTTTGCTTTCTTTACTTTCTAGTTAAATTAATAGCGATATAGTTGAAAAAAATGCATTAAATTTTAAAATGAATAATAAGTATTATAGTTTTTGCCTGAATGAATAATTGACTAGAAAATATTTTTGTTAAATTATCTATCTTTAGTATCTAAATACCAAAGTTAGGTGCTTTGAGCTTTTTAATGCCTTCCAAATTTTTCCAACATTTAGCTATTTTCTCTATACTCCACATTCACTACTATCTTTACTTTCTAGTTAAATTAATAGCGATACAGTTAAAAAAATGCATTAATTTTTAAAATAAAGAGCAAATATTTCAGTATTTGCCTAAAAGAATAATTGTACCTGAAAATATTTAATTTTTATTATATCTATCTTTAGTATCTCCCAATACTAAAGTCAGGTGCTTCGAGTTTTTTAATGTCTTCCAAATTTTTGCAACGTTTGGCTATTTTCGTTGTCCTAGATTTATGCCAAAATTAATTTTAGATAAACTTACCTATACCATGATATTGAACTTGCCAATGATGTGCCAATTTGGCACTTGATGATTTGCTTTGACCAAAAATATGACTTTTGTAATATATAATACCTGTACGTTTTGTTCAATTAGATTTAGTGGACTGTATCAAAACTAGTAGTAATAATCTTTTAGTAAGGGTTTGTTAAAATATTTTGCCTATTTAACCTTTAGTACTAGTAAACCAAAGTAATGAAGGTCAAAAGACCTTTAACGTGATTAAAATTCCAAAATGTTTGGGTCTAGAGCAATTAACGTATTCAGGTAGTCTTCATATGTTTAGGTGCTTCAGTTTTATATTTGTTTTTAAATGTTGTCTGGAACAAAATAGAACTATGTATAAGTGGCATTTTGCCTTAAGGCAAGTTGTATGGACTACCAGATGTGTGTATAATCGACTTAATCAACAAACAATCAATAATTAATTTAAGATATTTCTAATTATGTATATCTAATTACTGTAGGGATTATAATGCTATTGCAAATTATTTAATTTTAATCAAGGTTGCTAAACATGATACTTATTTTTTTGGAAAATAGTTCAAATGATACGTTCCTTGTCCTAAGTTTTAATAATTTTTTAATTAGACTATTTCTTGTAGACCTCTTGATATGCAGACTTTTTGTAGATTTCTATCATATGCAAAGTTTTATTAAAATAGTCCAAATATATATTATAAAATATATAATAATATAATTGATAAAATACGAATTAATAAATCATTTTTTTGCTATAAATCAATGTTCTTGTGTCTGCAATCCATCAATCTCTGTTTTATCCGATCAAATTTTCTCTATCAATCAAAACATTTCAAAATTTATCAAATAGACTACATGTTTCTATTGATATAAGATGGATCTTCAGATGTTATGATGAAAAATGTGCAAAAATTGATCTCCGATCGTAATTTATAAAAATAGAATGTAACATAATCAAAATTCTTGAAAATTGTACCGGACTTTGTGTAAATATTTGGAAAGAACTTTTCGCATCACAAGAGCGCCAATTGTAAACATACTAAAATTTAATATATATATATATATATATATATATGTATATATATACATATATATAATTATTTATTTATAAGTTGGGTGTAAAATTTTATATTTTATGTTTCAAATTCTAAACTACCGGAAATTTTGCGTCACAATCGCTCTAATTGTATCATAATTATTTGATCGTTAATAGAAAGAAGAAAATAAATATCCACATAAATAATGCTTTTATTTAAATAATTATTGTCATATAATTGCTGCACTTGGAGTAGTAAGTATATGTAAACTTGTCAGTAATAGAAAATGCGGGAAAAATTATGAATTATTTATTTTTTTGTTATAAAGTAATCTTGTTTTAATAGTAATATAAAGTTCTAGTGATTTTAGTTCAATGTTATAAATATATATATATATATATATATATATATATATACATTTATATACCCATAATTTAACGTAGGCGTTTATATGAAAGTATAAACACAAACTTTGTTGTGTAATACATATTAGTTATGCATACATTATTGTAATATCTGTTCTTAATACATATGCCTACCTCTTTGATTATTTATATGTGTGTTTGTATGTATTTTTACAATTTTGTACAAAATTTTATTTTATTCCATAAAAATTATAATCTGAAATTGACGTGGTTATTGTTGAATAATCCATTTTTTGTCCAAGTATTGGTTTTCTATCGAATGTTAATAATTTATTCAGATTAGATCTGAGACTCTCACTATATGAATTATAATTTGTCTGGAAAAGTTGCATTTTGGGCTTCTTTGCAATTTTGGCACTTCTTTGTAAAAACTAGCATTTTGGCCAAATTCGTCATTTTGTTTCCTAATCCCAATTCATTGAGATTTTTTGGAGCGTTTATTTGACTTTGCCATTATATTTAAAAAAATGTGTAGAATAATTAGTTTTGCCTAAAATTACTTCTATTCCGAGTAAAGAAATATATTTTCCAATTTAGAACAAATTTTCTATTTATTTTATATGTACTAAATAAGATCAATCAACCGATAAATCATAAGATATGACGGCAATGTTATATTTAGATTTAGATTTAATATGGCTATTTTTAAACGTGATATTATTTTTTAACACAGATTAAATTTGTTAAGCACGATTCAATTATTTAAGATTTTAAATAAGTAAATGAAATGATAACGATATCTCTTGATTTTATCTTTCATTTTGTTCGTTAATTTATATTCTCTTCCTTTAAAAGAAAATTCTTTACTTTTAGATATGTTTATATATTTTACAAGATAAAATTCTCTTGAAAAGCACCACCAAATATTATCTTAAATTATTTTCGTTTCATTTGTGAATTTACACAGTATACTGTTTGTATTAGTTTCCATCTTCAGTGGTTTCCATTATCTAATTTGAAAATGAATATGATTATTTTTTGTTACATGTTCAAAATTGTTTTACATTTCTTGTTTTATATTTGTCTATTTGCAAATAAGATTTAGGGGTAGTGCCATAGTTATTTTGGTTTCAAAGGGTGAGATCAGGTTTTGATTCTATTTTTGTTGTATATGAAGCGATTGAAAAGATTGTTTAGTGCAAATTTTAAGGACAAAATTAGGAACTGCACATGTAAGTGTTACATATAATAACAAGAAACCATTTATCATTTTCTTGGCTTTTGTTTGAAAAGGAAAACGTGACTTTTAAATCTTCAAATTTCAAAGGACAAGAACCAGCTTTTATTATCATCTGTGCTTCGTAAAATGCATTTTTGTTCTTGTTACACATTTTTGGATTTATGCTTTGTTATTTAAAAAAACTAAATAATTGTTTTAGGTATACTGAGATGAAATATTTGGTTATTTTGTTATATGTTTGTTAAATATTTTAACCAAATATTATGTTTGACTTTATTCTTACCTGAACTGTCTAACAATAAATTGTCTAGGAGGAGCTTCTTAAATATGACCAAAAGCATTCACAAATAAGGCCATTTCTAGAGAAATTAAAACCTAATTTATTTACTCAAAATAACTCAAGTTAGAGGTTTATAGTTCCAGCAAGGACATGATTTTACTTTAGTTAATGCGTATATTTTATTATTTCTAAAAAGATGACTCAATCTGTTGAAATTACCTGACCTTTTCATAAAATATTTTTTTATAGAATTGATATTTGTGAGCAGTCTAAG